ATAGACTTAAACAGCCAATCATACGGATGTCTTCTTATGGAATCACAACATTTACCAGAAAATACCTGCGCTTTCATATCCAAAAAAAAATAGCACTTTATTTTTCAAAGTTTACCTCTAAAATCCAAAAGCCTAGATTTGCATTCTAAATTAATAAAATATATATATCAATAAATAGGCAGACTTATTATTCTTGAACTAATAGTATAAAATACTTTTTAGGATTTCTTCGAAACTAGAACTAATTTTTTCTTTAGTTGACGTTATATTGCATAAAAATTCTCCTGATATGTTTAATTTTTGAAAGTATTAATTAATAATTATCATTATACATAACACAACATTAATTGTTTACATTACATTACCAACAGAATTTTTGATCTCTTTTAAAAGTTCATCCTCATCTTTATACTTATTTTTATCCCTTTCGCCCCATTTGTTTGCAATAATCATAATAGGAATTTTATTAGTTACATAGTTACTATCGGTGTTGGTATATTCATGTAAAAGTTCTTCTATAATCTTTAATCCATCGGTGCGAGAAATATCATAAACAAGCATAGCACCGTCAATATAACTATAATAACTATAAAATACAAGATAAATAAAATTTGTCGATATATAAAAAAAGCACACGCATTAGAATTATAGTAACTCACTTTTTATTTGGTCTCATGTTCCATCCTACAAAAATGAGAATAAAAAAAGTTATCAAATAAATAATTATTAACGTTAGGTTTTGTACCATACTACTGTATTAATGTTTTTTTTTTTTAGACTCCCTAGTGGACGACGTAGTTGTATTTTACGTATTAATGTGTGTATTAATGAATATTGCATTAGTTTACATTTCAAATATATGCATATCCAGATTACTATATGCCATAAATTTTTTTTATTGTACGAAGGCAAAAATTGACAAAATAATATAAATTTATAGTGAATCAAATATCTGTATAATAATTTGGACATCTGATATCGATATATATTTTCAATACGCTATAAATATCAATATACATATAAGACTAAATACCTGTCTCTAAAAATTCTACTTTAATAGTGCAATTATCCAAATGAATGTACGTGGTTATTACATATACTTGCAAATTTTCTTCGTATGCTCCAAGGTAAAAATCATTTTCGGCAAATTTTGTAATAAGCCAAGATTTACCAGCCCAACGTTCACCATCCACACCAACTAAAAATAAAACGTTTTAATATAGTTAATATAATTCAGATATAAGTAGTAAATTGCGAAATTTATCATACTTCTTAAAAAAAAGTCATAATTTTTATTCATTCTTTGGGAAGTCATCCTAAAGTGTAGTATGTCTACAGTCATCATTACGTATTTATTGTAAGTGTTTTAACATCGATACATTGTCCAACGTTGTTCAAGCTATGTGCATGATACGTACGTACGTACGTACGTACGTTCGTACGTCAGATTGACAGGGCGTAGGATCGATTTTCCGATCATGTGATTTTCCGAGGCCTATAGTTTTCGAACAAAAAGGCA